AGCTCATCGGCCGGCAGCGCATGCAGGGGAGTATCCCCTACCTTTATTTCGTCGGTCAGGCTTTTTAGCCAGTCCGCCGATTGCTGGTTGGCGTAGCAGGTGATAAGTGCACCGTCCCTTTCTCAGGAGCCGGTGAAGGTGGGGGCCAGGGTTCCCTCAGGGAGCCTCAGAATGCCCCTCCTGATTTGACTCCTGATTACCCCCACCCCGCCGGCATCCAGTTTCTTGTCAGGGTAGCCCTCTAAAACGAGGGCTAGCTTGACCAAACCCTTGATCGCCTGGACATAGGACCCTTGATCAGAGGTCTTAGGCCTCTTGCCCCGGCGATCTTCAGACGGGCTAGGGGTGGCATGCTCCGGCTTGGCCCGCTTTTGTGAGCCAGTCCCAGCATGCCCTCCCTTGCCCGTCTTATTTGTGTCAGATGAGGGGGCGTTTTGGGCTTTTTCAGCCTGTTCGCCCTCTCTCATCTGTCTAGCATAGCGGCACCTTGCGGCCCCGCTGTAGCGAACTCGTTTCATAGTCTGACCCGAGTTTGCCATTGTCGCCTTCTCCGGTCGTTCGCTCCCTAAGGAAGCCACGCCCTGAAGGATTTCATTTACTGTTGTTGTTGTTTTGTTTAACTCTTTTATTTTGTTCCCACGAATACCGCGGTCATGCGATATCACCCGGGCAGCGTCGCGATTGCCCAGGGCTTGGCTAGTTCACCCAGAGGTCGCCCGATATCTGGGGGCACCGTTATCGACGCAGCTCCCCCTGCGCCATGCAGCCCTCGGCACGGTCGCGCTTGACACCTTGGCTTGGGGGGTTCCGCTTTGTTGGCCGCACCCGGTAACACCCCTGAGCGGGTGCCCCCCGGGTGCGGCCATAAGCCCCGCCACCCGCCCCGGCGTGAGAGCCCGAGGCCCTCGAAATCGCCGGGCGTACCCCTATGTGGTGCAAACCAGGCGTTCCGCGATTCCCGAGCCCCCACCCCGGGACTCCGACAAGGTGGGAACCCTTTGGGCGGGGTATAAAACAATAAACATTACAAAAAATTATGCCGCATGCAGTAACTTTGTAATCATTAAATCGCATACATAATTTCGTCATGCATTGCATAAATGTTTTGTAAAATATTATTAATTTGGTAGGTTGATCAGTTTAAACGATGTTAGTGCTCTGATATCAAAGTTTTTTCCGATAAGTAATCTAATTCTTGTAATTTCTTTTGTCTTTCTCAAGTGTTTGCGACCACTATATCGAAAAGCAGTTTTTAACTATAAACTATTTTCTGGTCGTAATTATTCGAAATTTCTATAGATTATTCTTATTATGTTAATGTACGGTAAATTA